CTGTCATAGAGTATGCACAGTCTGGAATTGTAGAAAGTGCCTAAATAGATATTCACCCATTCACAGTTGTAATTGATGTATTCCAAGGACATTGACTAAAAATAAAAATAACAAAGATTGAAAAATGTGTGTGTATATACACAAAAAATAGTAAATGAAAGTCACTGGTAGATTTTAGGAACAATCTCACCCATCCTATGGTAGTAAAAAAAGAAAAGTTGGTCCAATGTAAGCCTCTTTAGTTGAATAAACTCCTGTGTGGAAGTCCAAGATAAATTATCATCAGGTTACAGCTCTCTTGGCAAACTACATGTCATGGTACCTCTTCAATCAGTAGGTTTGTCCTAACAGAAAGGAGGTATCGGGTGGGTCTGAGGCTGCGCGCTCGTAAAGTATAATCCCTTCTATGGCACTGGCACAGGAAATAAACAGACCCTCTTAAGTAGGCCGGTGCTCCTACCAATCTTGCATTTGGAATGTCCATCTATACACGGTGATGTGATGGGCCAACAGCGGCTGTGGAGATCCAAAAGAGTCCTACTCTGTTTTGTATGGATTCCACAGCGCCCTCATGGATAATGGTCAATGATAATATTACATAGAAACAAAAAATAATCAAAACATATATTACACATATATATGCATATTTACACATGTTGAGACTACATCTGAACACCATTAGATTGTGTGGGTAGCATTTATTATAGAGATAGAAATAATCTAAGATATATGAAAAATACATACTGAAAAAAATTATCGAAAAGTTGAAAGAAATAGCTAAATTAATGAATAAATATATGTAACTGAAATACAGGAAAATTAATAAAAAGTATACAAATTGGAAAATAAGGATATGTATGGAAAACAATATATAAAACAAAGACAGTGTTTATTCTGAACACTGTGTATAGCTTCTTACATTTCTCCCAAATAAATATAATATATTATAAACATAATATATATATATATATATATCTCCTTATATGTCCTTATTCTTTCTACAAAAATATTTTTCTATAAGTTTTCTCCATATTTGTCTTTGCTATATATATATTTTTCCATACATATCCTTATTTTCTCATTTCTATACTCTTTATTAATTTTCCTATATTTCAGTTACTTATTACATCAAATTTTGCATTAAACTATTTGGATGATTCAGAAGGCTTTCGTGGATGATGCAATGAGTGCAGTGGGAATAAAAGTGTGGCACAAACACTTAAAAGATGATTGAGAATCTGTTGAAAGATGTTGTGCCCTGTGAACATGAAAGAGATTCAGGTAAATACGACGAGGCAGCTGATAGAGATTCAAACAAAGGGTTTTGCAGTGTTTTGAACAGTGGAAGAGAACTGTTTAAGGTTCCAAGGTGCCTACTTTGAAGAGGAATTGAGGTGCTATTGCCCTATGTACAATGTTTCTTGCATTTTGTATCTTCTTCAATAAATGTCTCTATATTTCATATTACATGGATGGATACTTTGCAGACACACCTCATATATGGGAATAGATAGATGGATCTATCTATCTCTCAAAACACAATTGCTCTAAAGACTGCACCATTGTTATGAGGATATAAAACAAATATAAAATGCTTTTCCAAATAATGAGAATATCTCAGCTATAGTTAATTTGTTCAGTATTGTGGTGTTAATTGTATTCTTGTACTATAATTTTCTCCATGGAAAAATTTTGCGCCAAGGAAAGGAACATATAAGAGACTAGCTAAAATGTTCTATGACCTAGTAATTTTTTTTTTTTTAAAGCTGTTTTTATGGAAAACATTAGAAACTCTTCAAGCAATTAGATTTAAATTAAATTACATGCCATACAACCCGGTATGTACATTAAAAACATAGCTTGCAAAGTGTGGCTGCTTTGAATAACTACTTATTTACTTAATAGTCTAATAATCTTTACTTAATAATCTAATTTGGCACAATTTGATGTTTTGTAGTATTTTTCTCAAGTTTCTCAAGTTTGCTGATATACTTTATATGAAAGATTGTTTTAAATATTGCTTTAGTTTTTGTCCAGTTGCAGTGAATTTGCTTGTTGAGAATATTTTCCAACAGCTGAGTGACTCTTACAAGCAATGAAATGCAAATTATAAGCAACCCTTTTTGCATTTTGAAGAAGCATGAAAATAAAACAGAATGTAAAAACAAAAAATTCCTAAAGTTTCATTGTGATATATGTATTTTTTTACACAAATTACTTTTAGGTTTGCAGTAGGATGCCCATAACGTTTGAAAATATTGCCTATATAGAAATAAAATGCTTTGTAATATTGTTTCATACTTATCAAACAAGGGAAACATGAGCGTTTCCAAAGCTATATTAACAACAAATGATTTAAATTAAGATTTCTACTCACTGCCATCTACGTAAGATGACATGGGCCATGACGTAAATGGCATAAATATGAAATCATGAACAGCCTGGAATCACCTGGCGGCTTTGTGTCTTGGGGAACTGGGGGACGGGTGGTGTTCGGCTCTCTGGGCGCTGTGGGTGGCACTCCCAATGCTTTTTTTTGTCTCCCTCATTCTCGCACCATAGGTAGGGGTGGGGCCCATGGCGCCTGGAGCACCAGGGAGTTTCCGCCCGTGAGCAGAGACCATTGAGTGTGAAGCTTATTTTGAACTATGTATATGATTATTGCATCCTGGATGATTTACCTTATATGGAGATCTTGCGTGGTCTGAACAAATGTAAATCATTTAGAGACCTGCACGTCTCCCTGACAACCCTGATATCTGTTAGTTACTGCATACCTATTTTATCTTTCTTTTATTTCCTTATATCTTTTTTGAAAATTTGTAAAATACTGAAATATCTATATATCTCTTCCATAGCATCAGGTTTTCTCAGAATGAGTTGACACCACATGTGCAGCACTTTTTTCAGTCTGCCACAAAGATGATGCCCATTATAGTACCTGTTTTTTGTTCTATGTATTGTCATCTCTCTGCTATTTACTCTTAGCAACTGCTGTACTCTTATTGTGGTTAACCATTGCAAATCAATCATTTATATATACTGCTGAGAAGATGTATCTAGATTTTCAGATTATCCAAAACTTTAATTACTTTTAAAATATAGTTTAAAAAATGTCCAAATTTTTTGAATGTATTTTTGAAGCAATCGATCTACATTTTCTGAGAGATTATCAGAACTCAAATCCACTGATTATAGGTATTCCAGGACTGCTAGTTTTTTTCGTTATGGAGTTTCTTAAAATAATAAAATATGGAAGTTTTTATATGTCGATGGAGCAAATAAAATTGTTTTGTATTTAAAATCTTCCCCCCAAAAAATAGATTTCTGACTGCAGTTTACTTTATATAGATCTTACATTTTCAGATTCAAGTCATTGTATAATTACAACAGAAAATTATTGGAGGAAGAGGAAATAGAGCCAAGGAACAAAAATTGTAGTCTCTATTGTTTTGATCTTAATGCCTCCTTCCATAGTGATTGGAAAAGTAATCTTGAGTGATTTGAAATCATGAATGTATTTGTTAGCTATGTACAATTTGATTAAGCATTTTAGCTCTTTGTCTACATTAAAGGAGCACTTTAGGGTTAGGACCACAAGCATGTATTTCTGACCCTATAGTGTTAAAACCACCATTTAGGTTGCTTACTCCCCCTTAACTTCCTAAGAAAAAGTTAAAACTTACTTTATTTCCAGACCTGTCCCTGATCCACCTATTTGGCTGATTTCATCAGAATTTCTTTATGGGAAAGCAAGAGGTGGGACGGGGATGGGGTCAAATGCCTGCCTTGCCAATCAGCAGCTCTTCATAGAAAAGCATTGAATCAATGCATTTCTATGGGGAAAGTTCAGCAAGGAGATGCTGAACGTCAGGGCTGCACACCGTGCAGCACTGACCCAGGAAATACCTCTAGCTCCTGCCTGAGTGTGCATTAGAGGTGTCCCTAGAGAGCAATGTAAACAGTGCCTTTCTTTTGAATTGACTATATCATATGCTCTTTCCCTACTACATGGGACTCTGATTGTAACTTTCTGAACCATTGTGACTGATATTTTCTATCTTAACTCGCTATATAGTAAAACTGTTATATGATTATTTATACACAAATTTGAATAAAAGACTGCTTTTATATTATTGGTGTGTATTTGGTTCCATTTCTGTTTTAGAAGAACACAATCCCTCTTCTTTGTCAAACCACTTCCATATGGTTTGACAAAAAATGTAGTACAGAATTTCTTGCAGCACTGGGCTCTAGTGGTTATGATGATTCACTTGCTTGTGTTTTTGTCATTTACAGGAAAGTCGATTTCTTAGATGATCACTTGTTGTTGCATCCTCTTAACTCTACATTAGCCAGTATGGATGATGGGAGGAATGAGGTTAAAACTGTTTGTGTATGAGAACCCTTCAGAGGGTAGAAAGTACTTGTTTTTGAATGGACTTTTATGTGTAAGAGTATAACAGGTATTCTTCATATTCACTCTATAAAAGGGTGTTGAGACAGGAATACCCCATATAGCCGTATCCTATACTATAAAAGGAAAACATATTAAAGGGCCTTAACATATAACAGTGTAGAATATATTATTTAAACAGATAAGGGTTACACAAAAACTGACCAAAGTCAAGGGTTGCAGAATAATGGAAAAGCTAGCAAACAGAGCCAAGGTCTACGAGTCAATAGATCAGAATAGTCACTCTCAGGTAACGGAGACGATGACAGGGCAAAGAGGAGAAAGTAATATGGCCTTAGGTAGCCCTAGAACCAGTTTGATTGGCTTGCATCAATTATCATGGCAGAATATACACGACTGATGTCACGGAACAAATGTTAGTCACTGTTAAATAAAAATATGACTAGCAGGGGTGGAGCTTGGCACTCAAGGAACATGGACGCATGTCATGCGAGCTCCTGCGGCTTATCTGTTGTACAACGGATTAGTGATAGCTTTACTCCGTGATTTCCCCCAAGAATCGTTCCCGGTATCCTGAGCCAACATGGGAAAAAAGACTAAGAGACTCACACCCCTGGCGGAGGAAGGATCCTGCAACATCGGCGATCCGTGTCATGCCAGGCCTAAACCTAAAATGGCAGCGCAGCCAGACCCTTGCCTGTCCTCAGAGGAAGAAATTTTAGATGCTCCTGATGCAATCCCTGGCACAGAGGGCCTCAACACTCCACTGCCAGAGGAAGACCTCACTACCCCAGTAAACAAGTATGATTTTAAAGCCCTACTGCAAAATATCGGACCTATCTATATGTAGACCAATCTATCATCAGAGAAGTAATTACAGTAGTCACTGCCAGAGTCCAGACAACAAAGGAAAACGTGGCCTCCATAACCCAGAGGCAAGCAAACACCTCAGAGCAGGTACACTCACTTCAGGTCCCCCATCAGGCCATACAGGCCAGACTGGACACCTTGGATAATGCGTGGAGATGCAATAACTTAAAAATTTGGGGCATCGCTGAAACAATTCACGGGCAAGAACTGACACACGTTATCAGGCGCATCCTGAATACTCTCTTTCTTACCTCAACGTCAAGCCAAAGGTGTCTAAATTGACAATTGCTTCCGACTGTCTAAATCTAGTAGGTCCCCCGGGATGACCTGGTTTGCTTTCCTCTGTACCGGGATAGGATGGCGGTTCATGTAGCACATCGCCATAGTCTAATCACTCACTGCCCTAAAGTCCTTCTTCCGTACTCCATATAAGACCATAAACCTGTTACTTCCAGAAGCTAACTCTCAGCTGTTTGCCAACCTCTCTATGTTAACACAATTAGACAGGTCAAGATCTAGATCAAGATACATTGTATTACCACAACCACCAGTCACTGCATATTTTTTTGGACTATCTAAGTTATTATTACTTATTTCCTTATCCTATTTTATATAAAAAAAATAATAATACGCCAGTGTTTCTTATACCTATTTCAGTACACAACTGTATTACGCTTATAATTGAGCATAGTTCATTAAGTGGCACCCTTACTACATGCCTAATTGTTAATTGCGGTGCATGTATTTTATCCTTATGCTCACCAAAAATAAATAATTATAAATAAAAAATTATGACACAAGCATTGAGGTATAAATGAAGGAGGAAAAGAGGCAGAGTCTGCATCAAAAATAATTCCAGATTGATGCATGATATGCATCAACAAATGTCCAAACACATCCAAGTGACAAAAGGGAGATCATAAATAAATACCATTGAATCACTTAAAATAGACATAATATAAAGTACAGTTCTGTACTTCCTAGGGATTTTAACTTAGAGGAAAACCATAGGTATAGGCAAAGCAGAATTGATGTCAAGTATCAGTAAGTCAAGTTAAGCATAAATAATCAGGTAATGATTAAAATCAGAACTGTTATATTGCAAGTTTTGTTTTTCAATTAATTCTCTGCTTCCCATTGTTTTTTTTTTTGTTGTTTTTTTTTATTTACCTTTGTTTTTACGTTATACATAAGAAAGAGTGGACTGTATGTTATATAGAGAATGCTCTTTGGTAATGTTTGGCAATAGGTGGAGTCTAAGCATGGTTCCATTTCAGTTGCCCAGCTAATTTAACAACAATTCGTCAGTCAAGAGAATTCCACAATAGGGAGAAATGCATGCAACATATATACATAAAGGCAAGATGGATGTCTATTCTTGTCTAAGATACAAGAGATATAAGGAAAAAAACAATTGAGAGAAAAAAACAAAACATGCCACTGCTGCTTTAATTTGTCTTTGCAATACAGAATGTGCTAAATGCCACAGAACACAATACATCTACATGAAAGGGACACTATAGGCACCATAACAACTTTAGCTCAATGAAGCAGATTTTGTGTATAGATCATGACTCTTCACTCTCACTGCTCAATTCTGTTTATGCAGCCCTAGTGACACCTCTCCTGACTGTGGTGACTGACACAACCTACATATTAACTTTCATTACAAGTATTTACCTCCTGCTCTGTAAATTAAACTTTAATCACACATAGGAGGCTCCTGCAAGGTCTGGAGGCAATCGACAGTGCAGGAGATAAGAAATTCTAAATTAAACAGAAAGTATCCAATAAAGGAAGTTTAAAGGGACACTATAGTCACCAGAACAACTTCAGCTTATTGCATTTGTTCTAGTGAGTGGAATCATTACCTTCAGGCTTTTTGCTGTAAACATGGTCTTTTCAGAAAAAAATGCAGTGTTTACATTACAGCCTAGTGATAACATCACTGGCCACTCCTCAGACAGCTATTAGAGATCCTTCCTGGGTCATGGCTGCCTAAAATACATCCAAACATTGTGTTTCCACCCTTTGCATGCAGACACTGAACTTTCCACATAGAGATTCATTGATTCAATTCATTTCTGAGGCGATGCTGATTGACCAGGGCTCTGTTTGAATTGTGCTGGCTCTGCCCCCCGATCTGCCACTTTGTCAGTCTCAGACAATCCTATGGGGAAGCATTGTGATTGGATCAGGCTACCACTTCTGATGATGTCAGCAGGCAGTGGGCAGGTCTAAAGGAAACAGGGACAAAGCATGCAGCTGCAGACTTGAATACAAGTATGTTTTACTATTTTTTAGGAAGGCATAAGGGGGCCAGGGTGGCTAGATGGTGGTTTTAACCCTATAGGGTCAGGAATACATGTTTGTGTTCCTGACCCTATAGTGCTCCTTTAAACATAAGATAATTATTTACATGATGTGTTTAGGAAGGCTATGCAAGTCACATACAGAGAGGTGTGAGTAGGGTTGTATGAACAAAGTGATTTAACTCCTAAATGACAGAGAATTGAGTATATATTTATATCAAAACTGCTTAATTAAACTAAAGTTGTTCTTTAGCAAGCAAAATGTAAAGCAACAAACGCCTACATGATTAGTGCATCAAGCTACCAATAAACTACTGATATGTCTATAAACATTTCATGCACAGGTTAAATATACACAAACTCTGATAATTGAAATTAAAGTATGGAAATTCGTTTTTGATGTCGTTTTACAGCATTTTTATTTACAATTACAAAGTAAATAATCGTAATACATTACTGTGAGCTTGACATTTTGAAGTTACAATTTTCTAATTATGTACATAACTAATTCTTTGAAAATATATTGCCTCATTATTTACAAGGATGCTGAACTCCATGATGTGGGCTAATAAGCCAGTTTTGTGTAGTGATAAGTAATGTAAAAGGAGAGATGCCTTGTCTGAGAGATGATTAAATCCCTGTTTTCTTTGAAAGACTAAATCATGTCAAAGCAGGATGAAGGATGACCAAGTATAGATGAAATGTGGGATCAATAGTTTCCTTTACTTTCATTTCCATCAACTGCCACTGCTCAATTATGCAATTAAATACAACAGAAACCAAAAGGTTAGGAGAGTAAAACAATTTATATTGAAAATAAGCATATTGTGAGGTTATTCAATAAATGTATTGATCTTGGTATTTAATGGAAAACACAGTTCTGACTATTTTGGTTTTCCAAAGCTCTGCACTATCATCACGAGCTATCGAATTATTACGTTTTAACTCTTGATGTATTTAGCCCATGTACATTCTTTATTGTGATTTTTACAAACCAATGATGCCAAGGCACTGAATTTTGAATTCATTTTATGAGTTCAGGAAGCATTGCAGATATTCATTCTTTCTTTAAAATTGAATTAAAAGATCACACTAACCTGAAGTTGGAACATTTTACTTACAGGTATGTCAACCAGTTATTTCACTTTAGTCAAAGTCTATGATGGAGTTAGGTTAAAGAAGAATTCTTGAACATGAACATATGACTGGTGTATGTGTGTAATTTACAAAAGAAATTAACAACAGAGTTAATAAAGTGCCTAATAAAAGACATGGATCCTACTTAAGTCTATTCCAAAACACTCTTTCAAAAAAAACAAAACATAATTAATTAGAATCATCATGAGCTGTTATGTAATGAACTAAACTGTATGGATTTTTTTGCATTTTTCATTGTCCTCAATTTTTTAAAATTCTTTCTTTTATTGAAATAATTTGAGGCACGTTACAGAAAGAAAAAAGCAAACGGAAATAAAGCATGCATTGATATGACAATGACAAAGGAGATATACACAATCACGGTTCAACTGTCTTGTTTATTTTTGGAAAATAGGCTGACCTAACATATCAGAGGATAAATTACTATTGCTCAAGCAAAGTCTAGACTGTGTGCAGATTGGTGGTGATGGGGTTACAGGAAGATTTCAGGCTTAGCTAAACAGTGAAAAATTGGCCTGTGAATATAGTATAACACGATTAATAATCAATGCAATCTTGGGCAAACTGTGTTCAATTGAGGTGTGTTCCATACAGGGGACACATCGAAAGGAATATATTCCCCCATGTTGTCCCATGATCATGATGAAAAACATACATTAAGAACTAACTTGGGAATACCATGATCATATTTCATAGGATTACTTTTATAAGTACATGAGTAACCACAACATGCAGGGGTACAAAATATGCGGAGGTGGGTTTTAGATAAACTTTGTGGCCCATTATTTAACAGCTTTTAAGTGAGTTGGGTGCCAGGGAAGAGTGAAATTTACCTCCAGCTGAGATGCTCCTAACCAAGAGGTCTGGGGTTAGGGGGAGAGGGATTTGCCATCATGTATCTATTGGTAACTGTCTGGGTGAACATAACCGTCAAGTGTGCAACTTATTCAGCCTCACGTCCAGTATCAATTTAAGGGAAAAGCATAACAGAAACGTGAATAAAACATACATTTATAAAACTCTTTGGCAAAACTAAGATTTGTGGGTAATTCAGGTAGGTCGGACACCCAGATAGGGTCCCAAGAAATTGGGGGTGACCCTCTAGATGGACCCGTGTTCTGTTCTACCAGTCCCAGTAAGGCAAGGAAGGTAGGTGCATCAGCCACCAAAGCCAGTGTGCACAGTTCCATTATGTGTAGCCAGCAATGTACCATCAGTAGTCCATCAGAGTGATTCTAAGCTGTGCAGTGATAGATCCAAGAGATTTGCACCAAATGAGAGTGGCCCTTGTGTGATCCTGGAAGAAGGATAAAGAGGAATCTTCGAGAGACAGTGGAGTTTTGCCTTTCAGGGCCAGCATGATTTGGCTGTATCGGAGTATAATGTCCCTTACCAGGTCAGGCGATTACTTGGATGAGCTTGTTATGCGACAGACCCCATCGATAGCGACCTT